TGACGGCGAGACAGAAAAGAGATATAGAGGTCGACCAGAGCCATTTCATTTTGTTTCAAGGCAACTATTAATAATTTGTTTAAAATGAATAATCCATAACAAATGCTAAATTACACCAAGGCAGTAGGACAATGTGCAAGAGCAGGACTTTGCACAGTAAGCTGGGCTGTATGATCACACTACTCATCTAGTTGTTGTGGGGATTAAATCAATTACTGTATGGAAGTTGCCTAAAACAGCACCTCGTATACAGTAAGCCTTCAAGCAGCGTTAGCTCTTATTACTATTGTTTTTTTCTAAACATGGTTCAGACTTAAAATACTTAATGTGCTGCCTTAGAGAAAACAGATGCCATTTTCTAAGGGACACATAATTGGAAATGTCTCCTAACCTTTCTTTCCCCCCAAATTTAATTGTCAATGAAAATAAGAGCCTTGACTGCAAAGGTCCAAACATGATTTGTTTTGTTCCCCACCTCCTTCTCATATCTTAAATTTGTTAATTAAGCTTTGTATTTTGAGTGGCCATATGACTGGCCATATGCCAGATGCATAGTCAAACTCCAGAACATCTCCATGCAAAACATCTAAACTTGGATTTCTCAACAAAGCAGTGACTACGAATGCCAACTGGCATTTCTAAGGAGTCTCCCCTTAATGTCCATCACCGTCAGCCATCTCAGGTGTCTTTCTTGTTCCACTTTGCTGTGCCCAAACTATCTTGCTTTCTTCCTTACTTGACCCCAGGTCCTCTGGAGCTGAAGTTGAGTTCATTCGACTTCATCACTGGTTTCCTTCATCACTGATGTCATCTACCAGCCTCCATCCCTTAGTAGTTGATAACTTTAGGAACACTTTCATTATCAACTCAATACCCATGAATGCCACCTTTTGTGGAGGGTCTTCCATAATCAAATGGATAACTGGCCCCATCATTGGCCTTCTAATTCCTGGACTGCCTCACCGTCAATTTTTCCTCTGCTGGACCTTGGCCTGTACTCACGGTCATACCCTTATCCTGTCTTTACTTCCTGTGAAATCTTGATTTTTGAGCATTTCTTTCTCCCACTCACCACTGACTTGTGTCCTTCCAGCACAGCTATTTTAATATTCTTATTTCAGCATTTCATTGACCTCAGTGAAATGGACACTCTGTGTGTAGCCAGTGTCTCCTACATGTTCTCATTTTACCTACCTTAGATTCCCTGGTTCATCACTACCAGTCCCTCCAAGCACCCTTAACTCCCCCTGCTCTCCCTCCCACTTTCCCTTCCTTTCCTCCAGCTCCTCAATTGTCTTTTTTAAACCTACAGTGTTTTATTAGTTTCACATGTACAATATAGTTATTCAACAATTCCATACATCACCCAGTGCTCATCACGACAAGTGCACTCCTTAAACCCCATCACTTATTTTACCCATCCCCCCACCCAGCTCCCTTCTGATAACCATCAGTTTGTTTTCTATAATTGAGTTTATTTCCTGCTTGGTCTCTCTCTTTTTTTTTTTCCTTTGCTCGTTTGTTGTTTCTTAAATTTCATATATGAGTGAAATTATATGGTATTTGTCTTTCTCCGACTTACTTCACTTAGCATGATACTCTCTAGCTCCATCCATGTCATTGCAAATGGCAAGATTTTGTTATTTTTATGGCTGAAAAATATTCCAGAGTAAGTGTGTGTGTGTGTGTGTGTCTGTGACATCTTTTTTTATCTATTCATCAATCAGTGGGACACAGGCTGCTTCCATATCTTGGCTATTATAAATCATATTGCTATAAACATAAGGGTTCATGTATCCCTTTGAATTAGTATTTTTGTATTCTTTGGGTAAATACCCAGCAGTGCAATTGCTGGATTGTAGGGTGGTCCTATCTTTAAGTTTTTGAGGAATCTCCATACTCTTTTTCATAGTGACTGCACCAGTTTGCAGTCCCACCAACAGGGCACAAGTGTTCTTTTTTCTCCAAATCCTCGCCAACACCTGTTTGTTTCTTGTGTTGTTGAATATCTATTCTCTTCAAGCTATTCCAAAAAATAGAAAGAGAAGGAAAGATTCCAAATTCATTCTATGAGGCCAATATTACCTGGCTACCAAAACCAAATAATGACACCCCTAAAAAAGAGAACTACAGGCCAATATCCCTGATGAACGTAGATGTAAAAATCCTCACCAAAATACTAGCAAACGGAATCCAACAATACATTAAAAAAATCATTCACCATGATCAAGTGGGATTTAATTTGGGTTTGTAAGGGTGGTTCAATATTTGCAAATCAATGTGATACATCAATAAAGGATAAAAATCATATGATCATTTCAATAGAAAAAAAGCATTTGACAAGGCACAACATCCATTCATGATTAAAAAAAAGAAGAAAGAAAGAAAGAAAGAAACCAACAAAGTAGATTTAAAGGGAACATACCTCAACCTAATTAAGGCCATCTACGAAAACCCACAGCTGACATCATCCTCAATGAGGAAAAAGTAAGAGCTTTTCCCTTAAGGCCAGGAACAAGACAAGGATGTCTATTCTCACCACTTTTATTCAACACATTACTAGAAGTCCTAGCCACAGTAATCAGACAGCAAAAAGAAAGAAAAGTCATCCAAATCGGTAAGGAAGAAATAAAAAGCAAAACTTGCACTATTTGCAGATGACATGATACTATATAGAAAATCCAAAAGACTCCACCAAAAAAAAAAAAAAAAAAAAAAAAAACCACAAAAAGTGATAAATGAATTCAGTAAAGTCACAGGATACCAAATCCATGTACAGAAATCTATTGCATTTCTATACACCAATAATGAAGTAGCAGAAAGCGAAATTAACTAATCGCATTTACAATCGCACCAAAAACTGTAAGATAGCTAGGAATAAACCAAACCAAAGAGGTGGGAGATCTGTACACTGAAAACTAAAAACCACTGTTGAATGAAATGGAAGATGACACGAAGAAATGGAAAGACATTCCATGCTCATAGATTGGAAGATTTCTATAATAGCCTCTTAACTTATCTGCTGCTGCTATGCTTGACCCCATGAACCATCCACTTGATATCCTGGTATCTGCTATGCTGAAACTAATTTGTAGATTCCAGTCAGTTAGCATAAAATCCATTCCTTTATACTGGCCTGCAAATTCCTATATAAATATAAAATCACCTATTCCTCCAACCTCGTGTTACTTTCTCCTGCCTGCTCTAGTACTGCTCAGGTTTCTGCAAACCTATAATATGACTCACCTGGGACTCTTGTGAAAAGTACTAATTCTTAGTGACCTCCCCTTGCAGATTCTGATTCATAGGTTTAGGAATCTATATGAGAATCTACTTTTAACAAGCACTTCATGTGACTCTTATCATAAGATACAGACAGAGCCTAAGAATCTTCCACATACCATTCCAAGGAAATCCTATCAATTATTTAGAATCGGGAAGCAAAATGAAACTCATTTTCCATTTTTGGTCCAGGAGAATATAGAGTCAGTGGCCATCTACTATGCTAAGCCATGGAATTCTGGGAATGCAGTTTATGTGCCAAAATGCCCTCACATTCCCATAATTTTCTGGGTGGTACAAGTGCCACTTTGTGCAGACTCCTGTGGATGAGGTTGAAGAAATGGTTATCATCAACAAGGAGGCAAGGAGGAGAAAGTGGAGAAAGGCTTGATACTCAACAATGTACAACAAAAAGAATGTGTCTGTTTACCTGGGCTGTGGTAGGACAAAATATTCCTAAAAGGCGGAGAAGAGAAACAGGACAACCAGCCAGATACCAGTATAGAATATGTGCAAGAAACATTTTGGCAGGTGAGGTCAGGACTCTGTGAGCTCATAGGCATACAAGCTCCTCAATGCAACCAAAATCTAAACCACAATAAACATTTGGCTTTGCAACTAGGTATTTGCAAGCATTAAGATTGACAGTGTAACATTTTTTTGTTTTGTTTTGTTGCAGCAGAGTAGTATTTAATTATGGCTTTAATAACAAGTTTAATTTCTCAAATTTTAGGGGAACTGTCATTTCCTGTATATAAAATTTTAACTTTAGTCGTCTAGTGACATAGGTACAGGCACTGGGATCCCCCGTATCAAAGGACATGTTTTTCTCCCAGAATCTGTAACTGAAACCAAAAACTGCAAGCCTCCTGGTGTCCCGTATGAAATTGGATCATAAGCCAGAGTAGTGCTTTTCCAACATGGGCAGACACTGAAATTCCCTGGGTGGGAGCTTCAGAAACCCTGACTCCTGTGCCCCATCCCAAGACTGGGATTTAATTGTCGTCGGGTGTGGCCAAGGTGTGGGATTTTTTGAAAGATCTGCAGGCTATTTGAATGGGCAGGCAGGTTTAGGAACCACAGAGTAACTGACTTTGAGCATCTATTTGAAACCTCAAACATCTGGATGGTGTAGAATTTGGGTTTATACACTGTTTAAGTCGAGATGATGAGATCGGTTTGACTGGATTTATCAAGTTGTGACCAACCTGGTTAGGGACCCTATTTACGTAAAACCAGAGCAACTGATGAGAAAGTCAGTTAAGGCAGTTATGTACACAAGGTCGCATACGCACAAATTACTGATGTTCAGAACAACAGGATTTTAAAGCAGTTGTGTCAAATTGAGTATATATCTCCAATTAGAGTTGACTGATAAAACACAGGGCTCCCAGTTAAATCTTAATTTCAGATCAACAAATAATTTATTAATGTAAGTATCTCCCATGCAATACTTGTGACATCTTTCTACCAAATGCTATTTGTTGATCTAAAATTCAAGCTTAACTACATGCCTCACGTTTTTATTTGCTAAATGCGACAACCCTGGCCCAATTTTAAAGGACTGACCTGAGCACTAATTCAGTATTGTAGGACACCTCAGGACCAAAAGGAACCTTAGCCTCTTACTTATGATGTATTCTCGTTTCTGAATTCCATTGCCTCGGTAACTACGTCAAGCTCTACCTGACTTTGTCTGTGCTAAGGATCAGCTGTACCTTATTCTGTCTTTTCTGTCTTCTCCGGAGCCGCAGAAACTCTTTGTGTTGCCTGGAGACAAAGTTCACTGCTGCATACTCCAGCAAGGCCGCAAACACAAACAGAAGGCACACCGCCATCCAGATGTCAATTGCCTTCACATAGGAGACCTGAAAGAGAGAGAGAGAGAGAGAGAGAGAGAGAGGAGGGGGCACTGTGAAAAGTTGTGGAGAAATCAGATTCCTCGTGTTGTGAGAAGCAGAATACCTCATTTTCCTTCACAAGGATTTTCTCTCCTTTCCTTAACAGAGTGCTTAAGCATTTTCCATTCTGCTTGCAGACTTGGGGCTGAGCAGTGAAAATGACATGCCCTTTGCCCCAGGCCCTTGTTCCATCTCTCTCAGTATAGCCCATCTGCTCAAGTAGCCTCATCCTTGAGACCAGCTCCAAAGATGACTACAAGAATTTCCTTAGTGGAAAAAAAAAAAAACAACCAAAATTTTGAACCTGTTTATTTCCTTCCATTTTTTCCCTTAATATTTAAAAACTAGTATAATTAAGATAATCCCAAAACCTGGATGAAAAATAAGTTATGTGTGGTTTTGGGCCCTTCTAACACCCACTGGTAATTTCTATCATTCTATTGATCCTAACAATGAATACCCACTTCTAAATACTTTTAAGCTATCACAATTAAAAATATCCAACCCAAATAAAACATCAAGGCTCTGGTCTTGGGAAGGGATCTGGTTAAAAAGCAAATTTTATAACACTTCAATGGTTGGCTGAGTGTTTCGTATACCTTAAAATTTGAGAAATGGGATTCTGGAAGCAAACAGTTTTTACTTGTAGTGGAAAGTGCCCCTCATCTCACCTCATTTCCACTTACTTTTTAAAATTACTGGATGGTGTTGTAACCTCCTAGACCCCAGACTACAAAGGATGCTTATCAAACTGTTAGCTGAATGTGTACTGTCTAACTCTGAAATGTTTTTTAAAAGATTTATCTATTTGAGAGAGAGAAAGGGGAAGCACACAAGCAATGGAGGGGCAGAGGAACAGGGAGAGGAGCAGACTTCCTGCTGAGGGGGGAGTTGCTGAAGGGCTCAATCCTATGAGCCTGAGATCATGACCTGAGCCACAACCAAGAGTCCGACGCTTAGCCAACTGAGCCACCCAGGCACCCCTAGATCTAACTTTTAAATAGGGTTTCCAAATATTTTGATATCAGCCACTGAGTGTTTACCAGCCAGTATTGTAAACATTTTTCAAATTCTTTTTATTGTGTTATGTTAGTCACCATACAGTACATCATTAGTTTTTGATGTAGGGTTCCATGATTCATTGTTTGCATATAACACCCTGTGGTCCATGCAATCCATGCCCTCCTTAATATCCATCACCAGGCTCACCCATCCCTCCACTCCCCTCACCTCTAAAACCCTCAGTTTGTTTCCCAGAGTCCATAGTCTCTCGTGGTTCATCTCCCACTCCAGTTTCTCCCCCTTCTTTTTTCCCTTCTCCTAATGTCCTCCATGCTATTCCTTATGTTCCACAAATAATTGAAACCATATGATAACTGTCTTTCCCTGCTTGACTTATTTCACTCAGCATAATCCCCTCCAGTTCCATCCCTGTTGATGCAAAAGTTGGGTATTCATCCTTTCTGATGGCTGAGTAATATTCCATTATGTATATGGACCACATCTTCTTTATCCATTCATCTATTGAAGGGCATCTTTGCTCTTTCCACATTTTGGCTATTGTGAACATTGCTGCAGATGACATAATGCTCTATGTGGAAAACCCAAAAGTCTCCACCCCCAAATTACTAGAACTCATACAGGAATTCAGTAATGTGGCAAGATACAAAATTAGTGCACAGAAATTGGTTGCTTTCTTATGCACTAAAAATGAAACTGTAGAAAGAGAAGTTAGAGAATTGATTCCACTTACTATAGCACCAAGAACCGTAAGATACCTGGGAATAAACCTAACCAAAGAGGTAAAGGATCTGTACTTGAGGAACTGCAGAACACTCATGAAAGACTCTGAAGAAGACATAAAAAGATGGAAGAGCATTCCATGCTCATGGATCAGAAGAATAAAAACATTGTTAAAATGACTATGCTGCCCAGAGCAATCTATACTTTCAACACCATCCCAATCAAAATTCCAATGGCATTTTTCAAAATGCTGGAACAGACAATCCTAAAATTTGTCTGGAACCAGAAAAGACTCTGAATCGCCAAGGAAATGTTGAAAAACAGAGCTGGGGGCATCACGTTGTGTGATTTCAAGCTATATTACAAAGCTATGAACACCAAGACAGCATGGTAGTGGCACAAAAACAGACACAAAGACCAGTGGAACAGAAAAGAGAGCCAAGATATGGACCCACAAGTCTATGGTCAACTAATCTTTGACAAAGCGGGAAAAACTATCCAGTGGAAAAAAGGCAGTCTCTTCAATAAATGGTGCTGGGAAAATTCGACAGCTATGTATAGAAGAATGAAACTCGACCATTCTCTTACACCATACACAAAGATAAACTCTAAGTGGATGAAAGACTTCAATGTGAGACGAATCCATCAAAATCCTAGAGGAGAACATAGGCAATAACCTCTTTGACTTGTTTCAAGTCACAACAACAAGCAACTTGTTTCAAGACACATCTCCAAAGGCAAGGGAAACAAAAGCGAAAATGAACTTTGGGACTTCATCAAGATAAAAAGCTTCTGCACCGCAAAGGAAACAGTCTACAAAACAAAGAGGCAACCCACAGAATGGGAGAAGATATATGCAAATGACACTACAGACAATGGGCTGATGTCCAAGATCTATAAAGAACTTCTCAAAGTGAACACTCAAAAAACAGATCGTCAAAGTCAAAAAATGGGCAGAAGACATGAGCAGACACTTCTCAAAGAAGATCTACAAATGGCTAACAGACACATGAAAAAGTGTTCATCATCATTAACCATCAGGGAAATTCAAATCAAAACCACATTGAGATACCACCTTACACCAGTTAGAATGGCAAAAATCAATAAGACAAGAAACAACAAATGTTGGAAAAGTTGTGGAGAAAGGGGAACTCTCTTACACTCTTGGTGAGAATGCAAGTTGGTGGAGCCACTTTGGAAAACAATGTGGCGGCTCCTCAAAAAATTAAAAATAAAGCTATCCTATGACCCAGCAATTGTACTACTGGGTATTTACCCCAAAGATACAAATGTAGTAAAAAGAAGGGCCATATGCACCTCAATGTTCATAGCATTTTATCTGTATTTTCTAACCATTATAACAACTGTATTACCCCCAATTTCTGATGAGGAAACTGGAGTAGAGAAGGGTTAAATTATTACTCAAGGTCACAGAGCTAGTTAAATGGCAGAACTAAGATTGGAATTGCATACCAGTCTGAATGGTGGATTTCCTTTCCACACAAGTACAAACACACTACTAGGATTATACAGTTTATATCTTAACATTTCTCTTTGACCTTTAGAGTGAGTATTTCTTACATCATTTAACTTTCTTCTAAATCATGCTTGCCTAATGGTCCAGACCATGATGAATCATTTTGTAGGCGATTTGTAGTTCTATTGTTTGCTACTATAAACTTTGGGGCTATGAATATTCTCCCCCCCTCAAAATATTGGCTGTATCTCTGATTATTTTTCAGATCAGTTTTTAGAGTGGGATTATGGGAATAAATGATAAAAAATAACTGGCTTCTGACTTGGGAAGTTAATAACAACACGGCAGGTATAAAAGCAGAGGCTCTAGAGTGAGATGCCCAAATAGAGGACAGTACCCTGTTCCTGACTAACTCTATCATTTTGCCAAATTGTTAAACCTCTTTCTGCTTCCCATCCTTGTCTGCATAATAGGGACAATAATACCTATCTCAGAACTATGTGGTGAAGATCATTTAATATGTGCAAAGTACTTCAAATAGTATCTGGCACAGAATGAGTGCTATATAAATGTTTGCAATTATTTGTCTACATAAGGGCGTGATTTTGTTAATGGAGAAATTTTGGAAGAGACAGAAAGATCAAGGAAAATTTTTTAAAAATCACCTATGATCCTAATATATTCCAATTATTATTTTTAAGGTTACCACCTGCTTTATACTATTTGTCTCAGTGATCAGTCCCACACATGTTGTGACAAAGTGGTCCAGCACTTTCTCATCTCCAGCACTGTGAATAGATCACCCTTCCTACCTGGGATGCTTAGTCTCATTCTTTCTGATTCACAGAATCCTTCAGGACTTGACTCAGGTGCCAGCTCATCTGGGAAGCCTCTCCAACCTTCTTACTTTCTCCCATCTGGTTTAGGAGCCATTTTTCTTTGCTCTCTCATCATTCTCTGTTGAACCTGTCCCTTCTTACTCCATGAACTTCCCTGGCCCCACCACTAGACCATAAGCAAGTTATTTATTCATTTTTTTGAACAGGCTCTGTGTATTATTAAATCTCTGTATCACCAGCGCAGGACCTAGCAAATAATGAGTAAGCATTAGATATGTGGAATGGATGGATAAAGCAATGATTGAATGACAGTAGGAATGACAGAAATATCGGGACATCTTTCCATCTTTGTATTAAATTTCAACAATTCTACACTATGTAACATTACCCACACTTGCATGTATTTGATATTTCTAGGAGAAGACTGTCAGTGCATTTTAATTCTCTCAGCGCACTTAGCATGCCTGGAATGTTTCTTCCCTTAATAAGCAGTCATTTGTCTTGTGTTTGCTCTTCTGGAGCAATCCTGTTCCCCTGTAATTTGTCTTATATTTGCTCTTCTGGAGCAATCCTGTTCTCCTGTAATAATAGAACATTACCAATCACAGCATTCCCAGTTATATATTATTCAGAAGGCCCGTAAATGTTTTAAGACCCAATAATGAGAGGAATTTGTCAGTGCCTGGTATATGTCCATACCACGAGCTAAGTCCAATAGAGCTGACCGTCATTCCTCCCCTTCGTGGTGTTTACAGCATTTAGTAATTTGTAAACCTTTTCCCTATCTCATTCTGGCCATCAGCAGGCCAAGCACGTATTTGGCTTCTTTTATAGCTGCTCATAAATGAGTCCTTTCAGTCTCTTAATCATTTTGGTTGGTCTCTGAGTTGCCTCCAAATCATCAACAT